CTGAGGATTATACCTTCGGTCTCCTACCCCCAGTCAGCTCGGCCGCTACAATTTGAACCCTACTAAAATTCAAGCTGACAAATAGTCTCAGTTTCGGCTAGAACATTCATCTATTGATACTCCTATCCCTTATGGGTGTTTTCACAACGTTCGTCTTTTCGTTTTCTTTAGGCGATTTGCTCCAATATTCTTTCGCATTCACCTCATTTCGAAGTCTGGGTCCACTTTTAATAATAAACCTTTCGGTTTTCTTTTTCCAATTTTCTAGGTGTGGTAGATATTCACATTTACGTCACTGTCTTTATTCTCTGTAGGTCGTCCCATATTCTAGCCGAGCTGACTTGGCCCACCCCCTTCAGATGCTTTGCTAAAAATTTCATCGTTCATTTTGGAGTTTCTTACCTATAAAAGTCGGAGAGAAAAGTAATAGGATCTCCAGTAGTATTTTGCATTAAGTAAATTATGGGTTCTTAGCACCAGTTTTCTACTTATATTTTACTAGACTGAGGCCTATGCGGCAGAGATAAAAATCGACACTGCCAGATTGCGATCCGCTTTTACACAGGTGTTTGTCCGCGCAATTATGAGTAAATTATTCTTGTGCATTTGTATTGTTTGGTGATCACGTTCTTCTTTTTATGAATGAGAGCCGTTCAGCATTCCGTTGTTTAGCTTCGTTTTTGGCATGAGTTTTGCTTCTCACGAAAATTCGTGCGCTTAACGCATTCACTTAATTAGGAACCTACTGACCCTTAACTGGTGGGCTTCTTTTACGCTGTCTGCCGATGTTCGGCGAACTCATAACTCCATCGTTTTCATCCGTATCTTTTCCAACCCAACTCAATTTTAATCTGTTTACGATTGTTTGTGTGTTTGCAGTTGTATTCCGTTATCTGTGTTTTTCAGCTCTAAAATTTTCATACAGCCGTAAATATTTCACACATTTACGATTGTCAGAGACTACAAAATGGTCCCCAGTTGGTATCGTCAGTTCGGATGATTGCGACCTCTAGTAAATCAAAAATATGTTACCTAACGACTGTGAAGCAAACCGTTTGCGTCCTCAAAAAGGAGGAGACCGGCCCTCGTGGTTAGACCAAGGCGAGGGGTTCCGCTGACAGAATCGAAGCTACTATCCTCTCCTACCCTTTCAATGAGCAGTTTTACCTACAATGTCACAGCTACTACAGCGCCATAACTATATCGGAGACAGATGCTGCCTTATTTCCACATCTCTGAGGAGTATTTAGCCTAAGAAGTAGCCTATGTTCTCTCGCAACTCCGATATTTGCATTTTAGCTACATATTAATGGTTAAGGTCAAAATCCACCTCTCAAAATGTTATGGCTAACTTACTTATACTATGGCACGTTCTCATTTTGTTGCTGAATAAGTGCTGTCCCACTCAAATTGCTTATTGCAGCGCATACTGTGAGAGTTATTTAAATAACATCACTGTTAACTCAAAGGTCCTTGGAATAGTAATTGACGCCAAATCTGGAATCGTGTTTTCAAGACTGCCTTACAGTCGGTATATCCGGAAAACTCATATTTTGTTCCTTTGCAAAGCATACAGCACAAACGCCTTGTCCCCTTTATTTTGGCAATTTGTAATTATACTAACTCGTCCATGAGAACTGTTGGTCACACAAGAATATATTTTTCTGTTGTCGGCGTTCCTTTTCGTCCTTCCATCTTATCCCGTTGTTCACAAAATATTATCTTTTCACCCTAAACGAGATTACTTTGTTCTCAAGTTTGAACATTTATTTTCTGATGCAGAGTATGACTGCACAGAAATGATAACCACTTTTGCTATGCTGTAATTTGCTTAGCGAGCCATCATAAGCAAGGGACGTTATCGAGGATGACGAATGTGATCTACAATGTGTCGTATAGGTCTCTCACCACGAATGCTCGCACCAAGCAGACATGTGCGCACGTTGACATCATATATGCGTTTGCCGCGCAAAACTGCCTTCTTATCCTTTTACTTTGAAAATGACCGTGTTCCATTGTATTAAGGTCACCAACCGATGTCCAAAGGGTTTGCATGCACGCGCTACTATTTGCTCAATGATGGCGCCATTTTTAAAAATTTTGTTGGTGATACTGATTAATTAATACTGATCAGAGATATAAATTACCTGATTTTAGCAATGAACCGGCAATTTAGAGAACTTAGAATCGATGGAGATCGTGAAAGCAGCTACGGGAGGGTTTTTTCTGTGTCCGGTCCAGGTAAGTTCTTCTCCTTTATCTGTGCAAATAGACACCTTATATCTAAATTTTCTAAGGTCCATTGTGTACATATTTGCTTTTCTCTTCCGCTCTTAGTTGTGACTGCGGATAGGATGGCAGGTTCAGCCATGTATGAACTGGTTCGTGTCGGCCATGACAACTTGGTGGGTGAGATTATTCGACTGGAGGGAGACACTGCAACGATTCAAGTCTACGAAGACACCTGTATCCTTTTTGCCAATTTTCTTCTTGAAGTTGACCACCATATTGCGCCTTCCTTGTTTTATCCAGATATTCTATGTTTGCATTAGAGCTCGCTTTCGCCTTATTTGCTGCCGTTTTCGGGGTTGCTATCGCAGTGTACCCCCTATGCTGATGTGCTTTTTCCCTAACTCTGATTTCTGATAGCCGGTGTGACTGTTGGAGATCCCGTGCAGAAAACCGGAAAGCCGCTCTCCGTTGAGTTGGGTCCGGGTATTCTAGACAGTATTTTTGACGGTAAGTCAGCCCCTCACACCTTGACATTCGCTTATTTATTTCAGTCTTGTCTTTTAAAGTATACCACGCCTGAAAGGGACATGCAGTCTTGAGTTCTGGCGATTTGATTCAGTCAAGCTAGTCAAGGAATATGCTGATAACAATATTAAAGTCGGAAACAGAGCTACAGAACCATTCTAAACGACTCTGCTTCGATTCGTGGATGGTTCTTGTAGATGGATGTGATCACTGCAGCTTCCCAATTTTATGCATACAATTTGTTTTTTTTTCCATACTTCACACGTGGTTGGCCCTTAGTTGTCCTAAACCAGACCAGACCCCACCTCGACCGAAACTCAGCACTTCATTCCCATTTCCATTTCTCGCTATAATAACTCCCACGTGCTTGAATGTATCACGATGCCTTAGCAGTGGTGCCTTAGTAGGATGCCAAGGGGCGAGATAGCCCGTCCTTTCTCGAGACTAAGAGTCAAGCCGTAGTGGCTTCTTCTTAATGTGATCTTTATTGTAACCCCACCATGATTAGCTCCGAGTTGCCCTTCAGTATCTTGCTACACGCTACACGTGGAGTACGTCGTGCGTGGCATGCGTAGACGGCCTGTTTAGCTTTATCAGCCATCGCTCCGGAGGCCGTCTCCGGTCGCCTTGATATTGTCTTGCCATTGATTGTTACGTACGTAGATGCAATGCAAGTCTGCCTCATTATAAATACCATAATAATGTATTAATGTATATTATATATAACAATATATAATATTATGGTAGGTAGGCTCTCACCGATCGGTTACGGAGCTTACTCAGCCCACCAGCGCCGCTCAACGGCTAGCGTATATTATAGGCGGAAATGCATTACCGACATTAGTTATTAACCCGCGAATATAAGAAATTACAAAGTTTCCATTTAAAGCTGACTATGATATAAGTCCACAGATCAGGATCAACACTTAAAGGGATATAAACCACATTTACAGTCAGCCGAAAAGAAGCATACACTTTCATTTCCTCTGAACAGAGTAGACTGCCTACTCAGCTAAACACAAAGGAACCTTCTTGCACGGTTACCTAAATATATGTGGTGGCAGATGTTAATGAAACTGTCTAAGACGGCAGGGCTTACTCGTGCCCCGGAATTCGCAGCAATTGAGTCTCACCGGTGCTAGTGCGCCGTTCGAATGCCATTCTCCGCACTATTTCCGAATATTTCTGGATGCGCCGCTCCTTATTGGCCGCTCCAGCCGCCAGGTGGCAATTTACAAAGCACATTGAGAAGTTGTAGACTGTAAGACGAAGACCAATGCCCCGTTGTTGCCCTCAAAGAAAAGCAAGCAAAAATAGGGGTATAAGCAGACCAACTCAAAATGCATGGTTACTAACAGAATGGTAAATGGGCGTTCACTGAACTGTTAAGGAGCTCACTCGTGCCGTAGGATGTTGGGGCTTGCTCTCCACGACTAGCGTATATTATAGTTGTAGTGGTTTATCCATCATTTTTGCCGACTGTCATCCGCATAGTTTGCATACCTTCTTTTAGCACCGTGTAGGCGCGCTAGAACATACTTTGCTAATGAGGTTTGTGGAAGGGGTTCAGCTGCTGCTGCTGTCGTGATCCCCGCTTTCATGTTCATGTCTACGTTTTTCTGAACCTCTCGGTTGCCTACCTAGGCTAGTCCGGACCTGGAATGTACGGAGCCAGTACACACCTTTGTAGCTTCCGGTAGTTGTCATGACTATTGTTTGGCGGTGGATACGAAGGATTTCCACAAGATGCATTGAAGCCTTGGTTGTATTCTAGAGGTGGCGTTTTTTCCCTTTTTTCCTTGCATCTGACCGCGAGTTCTGCTGGTATTTTCCCCTGATTTATCGATCTGGAGACGTCCTTTCTCTCTGTGTGTTCGTGTACCCTCCTCCCCTTGTCTGCAACAAACGGTTTTGGGGTAATATCACATGCCCGTGTTTTCTTTTTTCCCCCTCCACCCGTTGTGCAGGTATCCAGCGGCCACTGCAGGATATTCGAGCTCTCAC